CCCCTTTTCCCCCCCCCCAGGCTCCATCGACTCCACGGTGCGGTGCTGGGACTGCCGCTCCCGCCGCCCCGACCCCGTGCAGGTCCTGGACGAGGCCAAGGACGGCATCTCCAGCGTGAAACTCTCGGCCTACGAGATCCTCTCGGGGTGAGGGATGGCCCCCCCCTCACTGGGGACCCCTCCCCAAATCGGGGACCCCCCAGTACCCCTCTCTTTTGCTCCACAGCTCTGTGGACGGACGCGTCCGGCGCTACGACCTTCGGGCGGGGCAGCTCTACTCTGACTACATTGGCAGTGAGTTTTGGGGGGTGGGAGGGCTCTGGGGGCATTCCCAAGTTTGGGGGGTGTCCTAAAGTGAGGAGGGGGCTCCCCTCCCTCCCCCCCATGTCCCTGCAGGCCCCATCACCAGCGTGTGCTTCACCAAGGACGGGCAGTGCGCGCTGGTCGCCAGCCTGGACTCCACCCTCAGGCTGCTGGACAAGGACACCGGGGAGCTGCTGGGCGAGTAAGAGCCCTCCCCAAACCCCTTCCCACCCCTCCCGGGGGGGTCTGCAGGCCCCCCCCTCACCCCCAGCCCCCCTGCCCAGGTACAGGGGGCACCGCAGCACCACGTACAGGCTGGACTGCGTCCTGAGCGAGCAGGACACGCACGTGGGCTGCGCCTCCGAGGACGGCCACGTCTACTTCTGGGACCTGGTGGAGGTGAGCAGAGGGTGCTGGGAGGGGGCTTTGGGGACCCCCCCAGCCCCTCGCTGACCCCCCCGTGTCCCCCCCCAGGGCTCGTTGGCGCTCAGCCTGCCCGTGGGCACGGGGGTGGTGCAGTCCTTGGCCTTCCACCCGCGCCTGCCCTGCGTGCTGGCGGCCACCCAGGGCCAGGTGACGCTGTGGAGGGAGGAGAACTTCCAGCCAGAGGGGGACCCCGACACCTGACAGGGCTGGGGGGGTCGGTTCGAGGGGCTGGGGGCCCCCCCGGGTTCGCCTGGAATGAGGAATAAACCCCCCCTTGGTGGAGACCCGGCTGTGGTTTATTGGGAGCTCAAATAAATACAAGCAGGGGGGAGGGGATGGGGGACACAGACAGGGGAGGGCAGGCGTGGAGGTCTCCTGTACCCCCCCAGGGGGTGTCACCCCACTGTCCCCCACCCTGGGGATGTGTGGGGGTCACCCCCGAGCCGGGCAGTCCCTCAGTGCCCCCCTGGCACCGGGAAGGCGTCGGCGCTGCGGGCGAAGGTCTCGGCCACCAGCAACGGGAACACCAGCGAGGCATCGGCGTAAACCTGCGCCAGGGGAGGGAGTCAGGGGGCTCTCCCCTTCCAAAACCCCCCCCCAGACTCCCCTGGACCCCCCCACCTTGACGGGGGTGGCGTCCACGCGGATCTTGCCCCAGGACACGGCCTCGTCCGGCCGCGCGCCCGAGTCGGAGCCGTCGAACTCCTGCGCCGTGTTCACGTACACGGAGAAGTCGGCGCCGTTCCGCTGGGGGGGGGGGGACACAGCCGTGAGTCCTGGGGGGTCCCTGTGCCCCCTCCCCACCGCTGGGACACCCCCAGCCCCCCCTCCAAGCCCCCTGACCATGAGGTTGGCGTTGGCGATGTGGTGCTTGACCAGGCCCCCGCCCAGGATGATCATCCCGGTCTTGTGGGCGAAGATGGCCTGGGTGTTGATGAGCCGCAGGTCTGCGGGCACAGAGGGGGGGTCAGGACACCTGGAGACCCCCCCAAAGCCCCAGAGGGGACCCCCTGGTGGGTCACTCACCCTCCACAATGTCCAGCACCAGCCCCGGGCGCTTGTAGGAGTGGAAGAAGATCATGTCCCCGAGGGAGCCGTCGGTGAGCGCCGGGCTCAGCACCGGGATGTTGTTCTGAGAGGGGGGGACACGGTGACATCCCTGGTGACACCCCCCAGAGCCCCCCAGTGCTTCCCAGTGCCCCCCAGTACCTTCTGGGCCCAGTAACAGACCGACTCGGGGTGGTTGATCTCCTTGCCCAGCCGCGCGATCACCCGGGACGGCGTCCACCGCACGCCCTGGGGGGGAAACCGGGGTCAGGACCCCTGGCTTGGGGGGGTCCCGGGACCCCCTCCAACCCCACCCAGAGCCAGGGGCAACTCAGGTGTCCAGGGACCCCACAAACCTTCTCAGGTGGGTGGGTGTCCCCCCTCACCTGCGTGTCCTGCTCCTCCACCATCCGGTCCAGGATGGGCATCAGCCAGTCCTCAAACTTGCAGTAGTTGTTGTTGGGCACCAGCAGGTTCCCGATCCTGGGGGACCCCAAAAGGACCCCGAGGTGAGCCCAGAGGTGGCCCCAGAGGGGTCCCCAGCCCCCCCCCCCCCCCCCCCCCAGACCTGTTGATGCCGCTCTCCCGCAGGTCCCGGCCCCGCAGGTGGAAGTCCCCGATGTAGGTGGGTGCCAGGCACTTGATCAGGTCCTCCTCCACCCCCCCCGCCGTGGTCACCAGCACGTCCACCTGCACAGGGAAGGGCTCAGGGCCCTGGGGACACCCTGGGGACACCCCGGGGATCTCGGGGACACCCTGTCCCCCAGGTGTCCCTTGTCCCCCCATCCCGTGCTCTCCCTGACCGCGGAGCTGTGTCCCCATGTCCCTGCCTGTCCCAGGCGTCCTCCCCATCCCTGCTCTCTCCCCATCGGTCCCTGCTGTCCCGCCCCGTCCCAGGTGTGTCCCCCCCATGTCCCCAGTGTCCCCCGGTCACCATTCCGTGCTGGACGAGGTATCGGATGCTCTCCCTGACCCCGGAGCTCACGAGGTTGGAGGTGAAGCCCAGGAAGATGGTGCAGCCCGAGGGCGGCCGCGGCCCCGCCAGGGCCCCCCGTTCCCGCTGCTCTGGAGTCAGGGGCTGCAGCTTGGCCGAGATCTGGGGGGAGGGACGGGGGGTGGGTCACACCGGGACCACCGGGATCCCCTCCCGGATCCTCACCCGGCCACCCCCTCCCCCCCCTGCCCCCCCCCCCCCCCCCCCCGCGCCCCCCCCCCCCCCGTGCCCGCACCATCCTCTGGATCTCGGCCACGGCCCGCGCGAAGCTCGTGGCCTGGAAGCCGGTGGTGCGGAAGGAGCGGAGCAGCTCCGCCAGGTCGGGGCCGCTCGCGAAGTCGTACCCGCGCACCGGCAGCGCCTCGGCCGGCAGGGCCCCGCTGGGCCGCAGCACGGCCCGGAGCGCCTCGGCCGGGGGGTGTCCGGGGCCCGGGGTCGGTTCCGGGGCCTCGCCCGGAGCCTCTCCCGGGGCCGCCATGGCTCGGCCGGGCCGCTCAGGGCGCCGCCATCTTGGGCCGCCCCCGCCCCGCCGTGCGCCTGCGCGCCACCTTCTTGGGCCGCCCTCCGCCGCCGTACAGCTGCGCGCCGCCATCTTGGTTCCTACACTACCGGAGGCCAGCGCGCCGCCATCTTGTCGCTACGGCGGCCGCGGAGCGCCAAGAGCCGCGCGGACGCCAACGGCCTCGGTGCCGACAGAGCCCCGAAACCTCTCCAACCCTCCCCGAATTCACCCCCAAAACCGCGGCGGGACACAAACCCCGCTCCAGTCCAATTCTTTAATACAACCAACAGCTTCCAGCCACACCCAGACCCCGGATCCGGGCCCGGCCTCCCTCTCACGCTGGGGGCACAGGGGGGTCCCGGGGGGCTCGGGCTGAGCCCCCCCACCCTGCAGGAGGGACCCCCCAGGCCCCGAGTCAGGTCCGGAGCCTCCAAACCTCGACCGAGAGCCCCCCCGAGGCCGCGGCCACCACGTCTCCGTCCACACTGATCTGGGGGGGCACAGGAGGGTCAGGGGGGCACCGGAGGGGTGCGAAGGGGGGGCACCGGGGGGGGTCACAGGGTCCTCACCCCGTTCAGGACGTCGTCGTGTGTCCAGGAGCAGATAGTGCGGGGGGGGTCGGTGGGAATGTGGATCTGCAGGGGAGGAGAGGAGTGA